GGGACCCCCGAGCCCCCCGCTTTGCGAGCGCTCCCCGCCGCAGGGAACCCCGGCATCGCCGGCTTTGCAAAGCCCCTGCCTGCAACCGTGCAGCTGGGGACCGTTTCCCCACTGGGGCAGGATTCGGCCCCGGGAGAAGGGCCCGTCTGCTCTCACCAGCTCTTTGAGGCTTTTATGGTGGGGCTAAGAAAAGATCTCGCTGTCCCAGCAGGTCTGGCCGCCTCTCTGTGCCCGGAGCCATTTTCTGCTGCATCCGTGCCCCAGCACATTCCGTGTTATCGATCGCTGGGTGAAGCCCTGCGTGTCTTGGCTGGGGGGGGCGGATAAATCCCTGTCCGTGCTGGTGGATAGGGACACAGGGATGGGGGCAAAGGGAGCCCATCCTGCCTGGCAGCAGCCGCCAGGAGCCCACTCGACCCCAGGGGAGAAGCTGTGGTGGGGACGGGGAGAGCAGGGAAGTGCCCGGTCCCTGCTGAGGCCGTGGAAGCTGCAGGAATTTCACTTTTGGGGATATTTCTTGAAAACCAGAGGTGTGGGACGGCGGCAGGGTGACCGCGGCACGAGGCTGGTGTTAGGGCTGTAGATCTGCTCTGCACAGCACCGGCACAAATCCAGCCTTCCCGTCTGCAGGAAGGTTTCCCCTCTCCCCCGGCGTTCGCAGCACACGCGTGCTCCAATCAGGGAGAAAACCCAGAATAATTTATAGGTTGAGTAAAATCAATTGTAAATGATTTTTAATCATCTCTGTGCATGGACTCGGGGTTTGTTGTGTGCTGGCGAGTGAAAGGGAGAGCCAGCAGCCAGGCACAGGCTGTGCATCCTGCTGACCCCGTGCACCGGAGGCACTGGGAGCTCTGGTTTGCTCTTCCAGCAGTGTTGGAGCATGGCAGGTATGAGCGGGTCAGGATCAGGCCCTCGAGCGTCCTCATCAGCGTAGATCTTGCTCTTTGGACACCCCCGTGCGTTTCTCTTGGGTTTTCCCTTTGCTACCCGAGTCCTGGCACTGGGCTGCTACAGGGACGTGGCCGAAAGCCCCACGGGGTTACTAATCAGCAATTATCCTGATTAATGCAGTCAGAGGGTGGTAGGGTGGGAAGCGAGGCGGGGAGAAAGCCCTGAGCTCCTCCTCGGGTCACAGCGAAGTGGCCGTGGGCATTGAGCAAGAGGTGGCCGTGGTGGGAAGGAGCGGGACGTCTGCGAGGTGTGTGCTGCCGGCATCGCTCTGCCCCGCAAAAACACCTCGAAACGGGGCGAGAAGCGGGGAGGAGATGCTTTCTCCCTGGTGCAACAAAATCAAAAGGGGTCACGGCGCCTGTGAAAGGCGCCGATGTGATGGACCACCCACACGGACCTGCTGCCGGGTCAGCACATCGCCGGTCCCTCGACGGCGTTTGCATGGCCGGCGAA